TATTGTAGTTTCGTTACTGACTAGGCCGACATGTTCCTTAGTCAGGATGTTAAAATTTATAAAGCGAAATAGAAGACGAATAACATTCAATAAATAAACTTGTTGAGAAGTTATCATATGACAAGTAAATTTATTTCAAAAGTCGTAAAAAAACAACTAGCTAGCGCAAGATCGTAATTGTAGTTATTCTTAGCGTGTAATTGTCAGTAGTCCGAAATTAAAATTCGGGGAGCACAAAAAATAAAGCAAAACAAACAAGCTAACTCGTTTTCGTCTTTCGATTGAATTATTGTAGATTAAAATGGATAAATCATCAAGAGGAAGAATCTGTATCTTCTATAAACCCATTTTTATGATAAACAATATTAATGGAGGATTATTTTTGAAGTGCTACTTGATATTTACTCTATTTCTCATATAAGTTTATTAATTTGCATACAATTTCTTTCCATTATACACTACAATGTGATCATCCATACTTATACAGCGACAACTATAATATAAAAATATATTAGTAAAATACCTAATTTAAATTTGTCATATATATTATTAAAAAATTTAAAATCGTTTTATGTATTTACTTTTTTATTATTTTATTGAGATATTGAGCGTGCAATATTAAGCACTAACTATTATTTAGAAATGAGTCTGATTTTTGCCAGGAACTTTGTAAGAATTCTTTTGTTCTGTGGAATCTTTAATTCTACCCCGCTTTGTTCAATTCCCTTTGTTCTATACCTCACGCATTTCATTTGGAATCTCAAGACTGAGGAGTTGACTGGATATATCATTGGACTGGCCCTTTTACATTTAAATTTTTCAAATAATTCAAATTAAATATTTCACCGTATTACCAACTTCTTGGGCAAGAAAAATAGTGTACCATAGTAAAAAAACATACTATTTGTAAAGATAATGTTTTGACAAAAAGTTCCAGTCTACAAAATGTCACAAATAAAGCGAAAAAAACATTCAATAAAATGTTTTTATTTTGTGGTAAAGTAGTATCGGTTCTGAGTAAAATTGATTGTTACAAGCTTACCTAAAAGCTGACTGTTGCTGGTTTATTTCCAAGCGAGATCAATGATACTGAACCGAGATGACATTTTTCCATATGCTATCAATTAGTTATGAAGTGAAGCAACTCGGTCAACCGTACAAACAAGACCATGATTTGGACTATTCCCAAGGAAATAACATTAGGATACCAATGGTGGAGACAAGTACACACAAAACAAGAATCGTAACTCACAAATACTAACTAGTTTTCCAAAAACAAGGAAGAATTCTTACTTTCCCTCAGGCATTTCAAACAGATATGACTAACTCAGAAATATACAGGATAGGATAGGTTATAAAATAACCATAAACATCGAACGGTTTGTTAACGATGTTTAGTAAAAGGAAGGAGGAGGCTGTAAATACATGTTTCGAATGGGGATTTTCATTATATCAATAATTACAAAGAAGAGTCATGGCTTTTGAGTTGTAAGAATCATAAGGGTGATCGTTTCTAAAATTTTAGAATTTTTCTTTTTACTGTAATGATTATGTTTTGTCAGCTAACCAGGATTTACATTTTCTCTCACTAAAACTTTGTGGACACCAAAACTATCTTAAAACTTCACTATTCAAAGTACACCAACGATTTGCAACATTATGCTACATGTTCAAGTGCAGGATAGTGATGACGAAGTAGAAGTTCGGAAAGTGTACATCAAGCAAAGTCCATCAAACTTATGATCCAAGCTGTTTCATCCCCTCAGCCAACACATCCTACAAGGATGACCGCAGAGGCTCTCCCCATCTCTCCCCAATCTTACCCCCTCTCCCACAAGCTCCGCAAGACTTACTAAGCCATTAGGGAAGCCTTCAGGCGTAACGCAGCCTCCCCTAGAGTAAAACACCCTCTCCCCCCCTGGTTGTTTAAACACATCCAAGATGAGACCATAGAAGACATCAAAGGGGAGTGAGCTTATACCCCTTCGCGTGTTACCATAAGTAATATCAGTTTGATTACTTTCTGGATAACAATAATTAATTATATTTTTTATTCATTTTACCATGCCGGTCTAGGATTATTGTATTTTTATATTCCAAGGTCGCCACACAATAAAAAAAACAGTCCGTAAAAACTTTGAACTTCTAAGTAAGTAAAATATCTCTCGTGTACGTGTTGATATTTATCAGATCAATTATGGATTAAGAGTGTGAATCAATATTAATATTTTATTACTTGCCCAATCTGACAACTGAGGAGCTTCTAAGGTGTTAGTTATAATATTGCATTCTAATATGCTACTGGTAAAATAAAAGTGGAAAAATAAACTGAAAAATCAATTTTACACATAAGTTTACTTTGGCGAAATCTTACCAATATTATAAATGTGAAAGTTTGTGTGTTTGTTTGAAGTTCAATCACGCATTAACTACTGGACGGGTTGGGCTGAAATTTTGCATGATGATAGCTGTCATTCCCGATTAACATATAGGCATATTCTTATCTCAAAAATCCTTTCGGGCTCCGCCCCAGTGGCTCTGTCTGTAGTTCCCCATGTTAACCTTATGATATTCATATTTAAAGAGAATTAAAGAATTTAGTCAGCTGTTTCAACTAAAAAAGTTGGTTCTATGATATGCAAAAGCATTAAAAAGTTATAAGATTTGCCCACAGGGTGCAGCACTATATTTTTATTGCATTTATGAAAACAGCTAATTGAACTAAGCAGCAACAAAAAACTGTGATACACGATGAGAACTAACTGTCAAAGTAGGATTGTTTACAGTTATGTTTATGTTTTAATTTCATAAATAATTTGTGATATTTTGCGAATCTTTGATGATTTATTTTTTTTTCAATTGTTTAGGTGAAGTGGTAGAACATTATGGCTATGGTAGATGTGTACAACCCCCTACAGAATACTGTAAATTTAAAGAAGCAAATGTTATCAAACTGTGTCCTCCCTCATTACAAACTCAAAGCTTGAGTATAACTGCAATAAGCATTTTATACTTATATGCCAACCCCGTACGAAGGACGGGTACTCTGCTAAAATCATATTTAGTAAATCATATTTTTATATTTAGGCTGCAAAACCAAATGTGTTACACAGCTGACATAAACATTTGTTTATACTGAAAGTGTAAACAAACATATGTTAAATCAAGTTAAACTTACGTTCAGGCCACAAGGAAAATGTTTCAAGCGTATAATATTTTAATGCCTGATTAGGTAATCGACAGCTAAAAAAAACATTGTATAAATCCTAATAACTAAAACCAACGAGAAATGTGAACTTTGGATCACATCAGTACCAATTATTAATCAAATGAGTTTTTGCAAAAATCTGAATTCTTACTTCAGGTTTTGCCAGAGGCCACGTAAAATAACGTAACTTACAAATTTATCAACAAAATATTTAAATTTTATTTACGAAGCGGAAAAACAACGACACCCTTATTTCCCGTCCGACAAGCCTATGTAGTCCGCCGGAAATGTCCAATGCCCAGGGGAGGGGATTAACAATAATGTTGATTCATCGTTTGTCGACATTATCCAGAGACCATTAGTGTTTACATGTCCATACAAAATGTCATTCCCCTCTGCTGCGCCTGAATAAAGTAAACAAAAAACTTAATATGTTTTTCTTCAAATCTGATTTGCTTGCTCCTAATGGTTCATACATTTATACATTTATATAATTCATTTTATTTAGGTTTCGCATTTTCAAAACGTTTAAAATATAGTATAACTAGCTGGCCCGACAGACTACGTCCTGTCCTAATGTGTTTTTATAACAAATGCTCGTTCATTTTCAAGATAAGCTCGTTCGCATGGCTCAATCACGTCCTGGTTGAAGTTCGTTCGCTATGCTCACTCACCTTTAGGTTGGAGATCGTTCGCTGCGCTCACTTGCCTTCAGGTTAGCTCGTTTGCTACGCTAACTCGCCCCCAGGTTGAAGTTCGTTCGCTACGCTCACTCACTTTTGGTTGCAAATTAGCCGTTGGCATAAATAAAAAATAAAAAAATAGTGCTGCACCCTGTTGGTAAACCTATTAACTTTTTAATGCTATTGAACATTACAGAATAAAATTGTTAATTTGAACCAGCTGTTAAGATTCTTTAATTCCCTTTCAATATGAGTACTCATAAGGTTAACATGGGAAACTCCAGAGCAACTGGGCGGAGCCCTTTTGATGGATCTGCACCAAACTTTACACAAACCATCCTTGAATAATGCTTAATAATGCCTAAAAGTTGCATTACAATCTGTAGAGTGGTTTCGGAGTCCATAAAGGACAAACAAACAAACAAAATTGGATTTTATATACTGTATATAGATAAACTAGTGCACCTGTTGCTCGAATTCGAGCAATTGCAAAGTATTACAGGTGTTATTTCATAACAGTCATAATTTCCGATGACTTAAAAGAGTCAACTCAAAGATAATGTAATAAGGATTCAAAAATTTTAATTGGCTTGAAAACATTGATATGATGAATTAGCCAACCCATTTCTATCGAAATAATAATGCAACTACGTGTACAAGAGAAAATATTTCAAAGAGGCTACACGTTTGCCAAAACACTATGGTAGTCTGTTTATCTCAACTGCTGATCTCTTTTACACTTTTGAACTCCAGCCTCCTAAAAGAGCAAAATTGATCGATCGAAGAGACATTACAGTATAGTAAATTATCAGGGAAATCGATATCCGATAATATAAAACTTTCTGTTTGTATTTTGAAAACAACTTATAATTTTTTGGCCTGGTCAATGGAAAAAAACTAACATAAATACTGATTATTATCGAAATTTAATCGACGATACTCCAAATACGTAGTTTAAGCTTCGCATTGATTTTAGAGTCAAGCTAAACTGTAGACTGTTCTTAAAATATCTAAATCAATGAACAGTTGTTACTAATATTTCAACAGCTGAGTGTCAATTTATTTTTCGTCGATACATGTCAACAAAATAAGTTATTCATACACAAGCTAGAATAATAATAAATTAAGTCCATTAGAATATTGGCAAAAGTATTTCATCATTTAGTAATACCTAAATCGTTCAACAAAGCTTAAGAATGACAGAAGTTCCTTTGATGGTTATGCCTTGGGTAAATATACATCTCAAAATTATTATTTAATTCATCAATAATCCTTCCATTTTGGCATAATGTAGTATTTTGTCATCTCAAAATGTATCGTATCAATATCATATAGATTGTTTGGTAAAGATTAGATCTTCGATAATAAGTATTTGAAGTAGAATTTAAATGCTTGGTGTGGTTTAACGAAAAGGTAACATCATTAAGAAGACAGATTTTCTAACCTAGGAGTCCTCAATGTAATTCAAATATAATGAAAATGAGGACCCTTTTAGGCTACAATCGGTTCTGAAGAACTGGATCATTGCATTAACATATGAAGATGGATGACCAGAGTTCAATATCGGGACGTAACAAGAAAAATATTACATTTTTAACAACTTACTTAAATGTTAGGTGTAGAAATAATTTAAAAAAGTGTAACTGATATTTCCAGCATCGGCCAGATCCTTGTAAGCCTCTCAAAATGCAGACGGACGCTGCTTTCAAGTCTTCCTACCTAGACTATCTAGCAACTCTTCGTTTAGACTCAGACCCATTGGACTTACCACTTTCATCCATAGCAGGGACCATAGGTAAGTGAAATAGATTTTGTGTCAAAGACTGTACTAGATATAGTGTAAACTATGATGCTAATTGTGATGGTATCAGTTTGGAGGTCTTAGTGTATAAAGAAAGAAATATCTTGTTCACCTGCAACAAATTTGTGTTTAAAGAAGGAAGAAAACTGTTTAAAGAAAGCTACACTTCTGGGAGTTCTACCAAACAATTTTGCAAAAGTTTATTAAATGTCATAATTTAATGGCTTTACCGAATAGTAGATCTTAAAAATACGGTTGCTGTTTAAAGTATAAAGTTAATTAGGCCTACAAGACAGGTTTTTGCTTTACGAAGTTTGTAATTGAAATGGGGAAGCTTTTTAACATGAGTTGCAGGAGGCCAGCCTCAACAGTAGCAATGAATACATATAGCATCTTAATACTAGGGGTTTAACTTTAATACTAAAAATTGAAATTTTTTTTTATTTTGAGTTAGCCAGTTAATTTAAGTGTTTTATTGATAGGGATCATTGACTTTAATCAATTATTTTTAAAAGGGGGCTATGGATTTTGTTCGTATTTTATAGCTAAAACAATTAATAACACATACCGTAACATTTTTGTGTGGTTGTTAACAGTATCTACAACTGTATTGTAATTATTAGTTCTTGCATAATAATTGCTTAGCTAAAGATACGGAATCATTTTAGTCGTATATTGTTGTGGTTTTTTTTATTATTGCTATTTTAGATTATTTATAGAACAAAATATAACTTGGTAAATATAACCAACTACCCTACAGGTCCGGCAAGCAACAACGTGGATATGTTGGTAGAGCTGATGAAGGTCGGCATGTCTATAGCAGTGGTGCCCCTGGCACTAGGTACCCGGCAGGCTCAGCTAGACACGATTGCCAACATTCGCACTGCAAACACAACATTTACCAACATGCGGGACATGGTGTACCCACTGGGCATTGCTGTGCAAACCAAGGGTCCCGGGCTGAGAGTGGGGGGTTTAGTGAAGGTGAGTAATATTAGCCTATGTGGCCACTTGTATCGGAAGTGGCATTTTCCTGTTCGCACCCATCTTTCAAAGTTGGGTTTCCACCCCAGTGGCTTTAGAGTTTTCAATAGGTATTTTCCCTATGGGTATTCACTTTTAAAAATAATCATATCTTGTTAATCAATCTTGACAGGTGTTTTACCTAAACACATAATTTGGGTTATATCATAGGTAAAACGTACTCCCTTGGTAGATATCTCATCCTTATGGATCAGATGACGGCAATTGTATTGTTAGTTCCACCCGGTGCACTGTATCGTGTAGATATTTTGTAGTCATCTTTTGTTTCCATTTTATTCTTGTTATTTTAATAATTAAAAATCTCGTTCAGCCAAATAAGTCTTCTCACAATCAATAACTCGCGTTCCCCAGTTATATACCTAAACTGGAAAGCGCAAATTATTAAATTAACTCTAAAATAATGGAAACACGGTCCACCAGGATTACGCCACCTGGGCCGGGTAGACACCGGCAAAGGGTGTCCTCCTGATTGCGAACAGTCCTGATTGCGAACAGTCCAGACTGCGAACATGTTTGGGTCTACGAGGTGGAGGGGGTCGTCCGTGGGGTGGGGAGGTTTCCTGATTGCGAACACATTTTGAGTGGTCGGGGTTTTCAACCCTTTCATAGAAACCCTTAACAGAATGATTTAGCCTAAATCACAACTTAAGACTGCTAGGTAATATACATAATGGAGAGGATGAATGTTCTTGAAGACACATATCTTTATAGCAGTCATAATTTTCGTCGAGTTTAAAAGACCACACTAAACGCTTATGTAACTAATTGAAATGCTCACGCTATTTAATAGCGCTTTGAAATAATAAACGCTTCTTGTATTTTCTGAGACGAATTATTAGACACCTCAAACGTTAAAATCGGTACAGAAATAACGTAGCAGTTTTGTTTACAAAAAAAAAAAACCCTCACGTATTAATATTAGAGATACTGACTATGGTTTAACATTATTAGCCGAAATAACATGCATTTGCCAATATCAAAATCCAAACTCAATCATTACCTAAAAAAACATCGTCAACGAGCAATTTAAATAGCAACTAAAACAAATACAATACTCACATACATCTTACATCCGAAATATCATGTATATGCATTACACATTACAACATCAATAATTCAATCACATTTCCAACTCAATCATTACCTAATAACATCAAATACAAGCAATTAAAACTCACGTTCAACAACAGCGACTAAACCATCTTTACAGATTCCAAAATATTTGTTCGCAGTCTGGACGACTCGTGTTTAGGTAGTCCACAGCATTTTTGAGGTGTTCGCAGTCTGGACGATTTTACCCTTGTTCGCAATCTGGACTGTTCGCAATCAGGACACAACCGGCAAAGCGCCACTGCCAAATCTACCCCCCCCCCCAAAAAAAAAACACCGTCATTGCGCCAATACGGTTTTTTTACATATATTTTTCTAAGAAACTACCCCAGTAGGTAGTGAGCAAACAATGGCGTCCGTTCCTCATTTTCAGTTCAAACCACATTTAAACTTTAGTTTCTTCCTCCATTATCGGGTTAGGTTAGGTTACATTCCATCTTCCGCCCGATTAACAGGCTACCTGGCTACCTGTGAACTACAAGAACTCAACGTGTTTTCTAAGCCATTTCCTTTTGTTACTAAAGCTTATTATGTATCTTTGAAATACTATTAATCACAATCATTTCACAGGATGTTCCAGTAATGTTACCGCTCCACCACAAACTCACTTTGACCACTGACAAGGCGTGGAGAACCAAAGGAACGGAACACTACCTCTACATCAACCTACCTGAGATGTGCCATATACTCAACAAAGCGGACATTCTACTGGTGGGCAGTGGCGTAATCATCCTAGAGGTGGAGAATGTTGGTGAGAAACTTTGATCTTGTGTACCAGCACTTAGCTTAGTTAATGTGTCTTAATCACAATTATTGAGTTGTACATCAAACTCTCAATAAATGTATGATCAAAGCCATACAAACCTCAAAGAATGAGGTTAAATAGTATTTTTAAGTGAATATTAGTCTATAAATCATCACTAGGGCGGTTAGTGATCATTCTACACTAGCCACTAGCTCAAGCTTTACTGCCGAGAAAAATAGAGGTTAGCAGTTTGTCAGGGTCGAAAAGACACTCTAAATCTGCACGCAATTGACTTAAGATTTTTGTCACAAATTATTTCTTATTATTATTAATCGTACTTAACCTATTAATAACCCCCAGTTAAGCGAATAAGAGGTATAACCTGTGACATTTCAATTAGCTTTAAGAGCGCAGGAGCCGTATGCGACCAGCAGACGCTGCAGCGGTGCGCGCCGTAACTACACGGCAAACTTAGCGGTGGACGCCAGAACTTATGCTAACCGCAGCACAGCTGACGGTCTATATAATATATTCTATTTGTCTATGGTTTTACCTGCCAAATCATATATACCTTACAAAAAGAGCACAAAATATTTATATTTTCATTCAGGGTAACTTTTTCCTTGCGTCAAACCATTACGCGTTAACACCTTTACACCTCGTAGCACACATGCATTATAGTCTTTAAGAATTTTTTTTCTTATTGTGAAATTGCTTGGTGATGCTTTTCAGAGAAAATTTTAAAGTTATATCCCTGAACTTCTATAGCTACTCTGTACCGTAAATGTTGAACAGTTCACCCACAATGATCACAGACTACACTACGGACAACTATTGTGTGTTCAAACTAGTTTTAAACTGCTTGTACATTTTATTGAATTGGTGCTAATAACATTTTTTTCTTGTAGACCAGACTGAATGCAAGTGCGTGGTTGTTGGTGGTGGAGAGGTTGAGAGCTACATGCCCGTGTCTATACCTGACGTCCCCCTGAACCTTCCACCACTCACTGACGAGGACGAGGACGACCTTAGAATGGCAGCAGAAATGGGAGTGGACATTGTGGTGGCCACTCACACTCAGAACAAGAATCTGATACAGGACATCAGGAAAATACTAGGTGACGCTCTAAAACAGTAGAAAACTAATGTTACGAGATAGATAGGATACATCCAAACTCAGGAGATAATAATTTTATAGACGTTTACATATGTTGAAAAAGAATAATAGATGACATATTGTATGGGCTTACACAACAAATTTGGGACAGAATTACCTAAAGAAGTTATATCCTAAGAAGGACTAAACTTCAATGTTTGAAATTCTTGAATTATTATGATATTTTCTTTTGCTATTTCGCATTATATATAAAACCACCCAACAGAATCCAACATTGGATAACATAGTTAGTTGTTATATTAAACACATTTACAGGTTATTTACATTTCTATGCAATATATAAAAAAAAAATTTGACCTAAGTGTAAGTTGTTCAATGAACTTTAAGGGTGATTTTATAATATTTACAAAGGATCTATGTTTTGAATGGTATTTTAGACGAAAGCGACGGAGGATCTGGAATAAAGATATGGGCTCAGATAGAGACCAACGTGGCCCTAAAGAACCTAGAGTGTATCTTAGAGGTTGTTGACGCCATTGTTCTCTCCAGACTCAATCTTCTACAGGATATTCCCGTAGAGAAGCTCTTCCTTGCTCAAAAAATCGCACTTTCCGCGTGTAATAAGGTAATTACCGTCCCTTAAAAGGATTTTTATTTTGAAAAATATATAATAAGGCATTCAGTTAATTGTTTAACTATTCATAACTAAATACATAAATTGTGCACTATGTATTATACTATACTCGATACTCTACTATTAGTGGTGCTCTCCTGCAAGAATTTGTCAGCAAAAGGTTGATTATGGTGGTATCTTTTTCAGTACAAAATTTCAAATAATGGTGATAGTCTAAAAAAACTGAAGTTTTACTTAATTTTTTTTAGGATTACTGCCAATTTTTATGAAAACATTATAATGATAATCCAAAAACTTATGTTTACAGGCGGGAGTTCCAGTTTACGTTTCATCTCACTTCCTCCCCTCGATGCAAGTAGCCACGACCCCCTCCATCGCAGAGGTCAATGACGTCACCAGCGCCATCTTGGACGGTGTGGACGGCTTCCTAATGCGCAACACTGTCTCTCACGGCAAACATCCTGATATCGCTATCAGGTTTTGAGTTTTATTTTACATAATAGACCTAACTACATCGACTACGAACACTTAAATAGAGTCTTATTAAATTTATCCAAATTTGATGTCACGACTGATGGCATACAGTATGCAAGGCCCGAAAAACCTTCGAAGTGTATTACACGTGGTAGCCATTTTCTAAACAAACTTTTTTGGAACTAACGTTTTCTAGTCTTGCGGCTAAATACTAGTGTATTTTTGGATTTTTTTTTTATAAAAATTCAAACAGTCTTTGTCTTTAATAGTGTTAAAATAATTAAAAATGTCTACATAGGTGAAATACAATACTGCACGCTCTGTTTATAGGCAACTCTGAATATAAGGATGCCAATAGAACAGAAAGTTTACTGATGCATTATTTCAGGACTCTGACTAAGATTTGTGTGGAAGCTGAGGCGGCAGTGTGGCACCATCAGACTTTTTCGTATCTAAACGCCAATGTAAGTTTAATAGTAAACACAAAAGTAAATACTTATCAAATACGTAATTTTATTACATATCATAAAACTATGAGGCCCTCTACATAATGTCTATAGAGCCAGAACTAGGTCTACACAATATTCACAATAGTGCTCGGTTAAGAAGGGTTTCGCGAATTAGAGAATCGTTAAATAGAGTAATCGAAATGATGCAAAGTTTTAGTCGCAAGCTTTAGAGGATTTTCAGTTGTCGAACACATGGTGACTAACTAACAATTCTATTAAAGACAATAACATTCAACCAACTCAACAGTAATTCAATATTCAAAATATGTTAAATCAAGGACTATTTAAACGAAAAAAGGCTTACATTTTCAGGCCAAATATTTGCGTTTTATCAAGTGATTCTATAAATAGCATTACAAAAGCATATAAACGTGAAAATATGTTATTCCTAAGATTAATAATATTATTGCAACTCGGTGCATAACTACTCGTACTCCCTTCTCATTTGTTCTAAACTCATGTTAATCTACATTCCTTGTAAAGGAAGAAGTAGTCATAATATACCATTAGACAACCAACTGTCTACAACATACTCAGATACTAACTACTGTGCGGAAAAATATATTTCTTTATAATTTGTATATGTGTATTGTATTGTTTAACTTATGGAAATAAACTGTTTGACTTTGACTTTGACTGTTCATGATTCCATTTGGCATCTACAACTGCATTCACCTCTGCCAACAGGCACCGGCGCCCTTGGACCCGACCCACTCCATCGCCATAGCCGCTGTGGAGGCGGCTCTCAAGTCTTCAGCTTCGGTGATTCTTCTGGTCACCACCTCTGGTCGGTCGGCGCAGCTAGTGGCGCGCTACAGACCCCGGTGTCCCATCCTCGCTGTCACCAGATACGGCCAGGTGGCGCGCCAGCTCAACTCGTGGAGGGCGATCGTCCCACTACACTATGTCGGTGAGTAAAACCTCAGAGAAAACAGATAGAAACAAAACTATGTATATTTGAACCCAGCCTATGCATTAATCCAACTGTAAATTGAAAATAGTATATTATACTGTAATATACTACGATGTATCTAAAAGATGTATCCGGCTACTCTCAAGCTTTCTCAGCTTTGAACTGTCACATGGCGTCAGGATGTTATTATTATACACAGAATATCCCCATTTGTCACGTTATATGCCAAACTAAGGGAGATGGTAAAACCTTTTAGTGTAGCACAATCCTGTGGTTCTCTTATTGAACTACGTTGTATAAAAACAAAGAATAAATGGCTGTAGATGATCTAAATAGATTTGTTGTGTACAACTACAATATCAAAAGTTGTATTATTTCACAAGCCATAGTAGTAAGGCAATGCAAACGTGAGATATGCTTGAGATACAGCTTTAGGTTGTACTAGTGTACCTGTTGCTCGAATTCGAGCAATTGTGAAGCATTACAGGCGTTATTTTAAAACGAATAACAGTCATAATAAGAGTTACTGTGATATTAGGATTTTCCACTGATTTGGTAATAGAACATTACATTGCAAAACATGGCACGATTCAGAAGAAAATCAATTTTAAAATCAGAAAAAAACCTTTGCAAATACATAATTTTGACAAATTTAGTAAATCACAATTTAAATAAATATTAACAGCTGCTTCATTCAAAAGTAGTGTAAATGTATGCATATGGTCGTAATGTAAACACATCTGAAGAGGGAACTTTAAAGGCCTCTGGGGCAGAGCCCCAAGGGAATTTACCTTGTTTCTCTTTTGATAGCTCATCTACAGACTAAGACCTCTCTTTAGAGACCCCTACCAAGTTTCTACGCCCAGCCGTTCTCTCAAATTAGCTGGGACAAAAACCCAGTTTTTTCTCCATAAGAAATACATGGGATGGGAATTCAAAGGCCACTGGGGCAGAGCCCCAAGGGAATTTACCACCTTTCTCTTTTGATGGCTCATCTACAGACCAAGACCTTTCTTTAGACACCTCTACCGAGTTTCTACGCCCAGCCGTTCTCTCAATTTTGCTATGACAAAGAAAAACAGTTTCAAATTAATATAGAGATATCTCACAGGTTTATTTAAATAGGGCTACTGTTGTCAGCAGGGAAATGTATTGATGTAATGTAAACAACACATGGATATGTAAGCTAAAATTGAGCCTCCTTTAAAAAAAAAAAAATGCTAAAATAATCTTTTGGGAAATAGTCATTCCTTAGAGCCAGAAACAGATTTATTGTACGGAATTGTATGGTAGATTTATATAATTAGGTCCTCATAGGGGTAATGTTATGTTAGTTTTAGACCAGAGTAGTTTTTAGTAATTCATTATAAAAATTGGAAAGAAGAAAATGTTTTACTTTGTATTTTAGATACGCCTCTACCAGAATGGACTAGAGAAGTTGACGTGCGATTCCAATTCGCAATAGAGTTCGCGAAACACAAAGGCATCGTCCGCCCAGGGGACGTGATGGTGTTGTTGAACGGATGGAGACAAGGTGCGGGATTCACCAACACCATACGAGTAGTGTACGCGTCCGACTCATTCCCTTGGGTATATCCACACAAGCTACCCGAGACCATTCCGTCAGATGATGTTGTCGAGCAGGAAGAAAATTCTGCTGGGGAACCTTCGGCGTCTACCTCTAGAGTTGTTACAGTCACGGGGAGTGTGGTTGTACCTCCTAGTCTTAGCTCAAGACTAAAGTCTATGGAGGAAGACTACAGAAAGATTGCGACTGATAGATCTCAAGAGATTGAAGACATATTACTAAGCTCCGTTCGTTCGTTGAAAACGGGTACGGTGACGCAAGAAAGAACAGGTACGGTTCGGAAAGATCAAGTGCATGAAGCATCGAGTGCAATATCTCATAAACTTGCGAGTAAACTAGGAGCAAACTCTGACATCAAAAGTTACCATTCAGGTTCTAAAGTAGTTCCAGATCCTTCGGTAAGGTATATTCATGGTGAAGATAAAGGAAGAGCTAGTGTGGTCAGTGTACAAAAGGCGACAGTTTTGAGTACCAAACCAGCGACAGTGTTGGGTACCAAACCAGCGACCGTTGTTTCAGTAAAACCTCCAACCATCGTGTCTACAAAACCTCCCACTGTTTTATCAGCCAAACACCCAACCGTGGTATCAGTCAAACCCCCAACTGTTTTATCAGTTAAGAACCCAACAGTCATAAGTACTCAAAGAAAAAAAGAAAATGAAAGTTTAGAAACAGTTTCAGAAGTGATAAAAGAGGAGAATTATGAGGAAAAATGAGAGCTCGAGTTTCCATTATTTAGTTTAAAGTTTACCAATTATTTATTTTCATTATTGTTATATGACTTAAATTTGTATACTGATATACAAAATTAGTTTATTTTGATAAAAAAAAAGTTATACATGACTGTTCTTTTATAAGATTAGTTGTTCTTATAGAGAACTGATTCAGGTTATACGATATTTTGGAAATAAAACCGCTAACGAAATAATTAGAAAGCTTTGATAATACTGATTGTTATATTGTATGTTATGTTTATTTTCGCTTACATATGTTTGTAATTATAGGGAAATTCCATTAATATAGGTTGTGATTTAGAAGGAAACCATCGGATGCTTCTGCTGTCAATGATATTATGCAGATGGGCTTCCTCCTTCACTCTGCCTGCTTCCTTTTAGCTGATTGGATGCATAAGATTATAAAATAGGATTGCAATCTCCCTAACAAGTTTTTGACTCTGTATACAAGACTTTTCTACAATATCGGTAGTGTTTGTATTGCATGAAAATTATTATAATCCATGGTCATTCATACTGTAGTGATACAACTTTTTATTGTGAATACTGTAATACTTTTGCCCATTGATGTAATAGTTCCTTTAACTAAATATAGTCAATGAAATTCGTAAATCTTACGAAACAATGTAAAAAAACTAAAACTTTCATATTCAAACCCAAATCAGCTGACTGTTCCAAACATGTTAATTAAACAAAACATAAGCTTGTCGTTTCAGAATTTGATGATGTTTTTAGGATCTGTTAGTTTTCTCAGTTTCTTTTACAAATGAAATATTGGAGGCAACTCAAACACGAAATCAAGGTTTATCAATATTTATAAAATGTTCACCTAAAACTAATAAACAATACTGTTCAGCTGTTTTGGTTTAAACTTACACCGGATTTTAGGCCAAAATTCGCAATAATCAGATTGTTAGGGGTTTAAACACGTATCTTCATAGTAGGCACTAGTTGCTGTACCTAATCTTCACTACTGAGTATGACCAAGGAATAGAAAAATATTCATTTTAATCTACTTGGTACAAAGTAGTGTCATGAATAACATTGATCATAAAAAAATCACACGATCAATAACATTAAACGTATTACAATGTTTTTTTATCTAGCAAAAAATAAGATAATTCTGAGATATACTTTATTTCTATCAGGACTGTTCGTAACCTTTCACAAACGCTGTGTGAGCTATGAGCTGTGATATAGTCTGATTTAAATTGTTTGGAAATGAACGCTTGGCCAGATTCACTGTGAACACACAATTTAACCGAACACCCGACATCACAATTATTGTGTAACTAGCAATATTTTAAGAACAGTACCCAGTGACATTCCTCCATCCAGGATGGTGGGTGTTCAGCTCTGCGAGACTTCGGTCTCCCACCTGCCTGTGGCTGAGGTTCTATGGGGCTTGCCCTGCCTGTGGTATACGACTGACATTTAGTGAGGCATTTTTCCTCGGCTCTGGAAGTAGTATCTTCCTGGGAGGTGGAAAATGGGCAAGCAAAGCCCCCAAAGGGGAGGTAACTGCTCGGTGTTGAAATCGGCGCTGCAAGTAGGCCATAGCTAGGACGACTGGACAAGCCAGCCCCTTAGGGGAGAGTACCCAGTGACATTTCTCCATCCAGGTTGGTGATTTGTTCAGCTCTGCGAGAGGTGGAAGTGCGTCATCAATCTCTCACCTGCCTGTGGCTATGGTTCTATGGGTTTCGGCCCGCTTGCTGTGTGCGATCAACATTATGTGGGGCAAATCCTCAACTTTGGAAGTAGCCTTTCCTGGAGGTGAAATCGGGCAAGTACCCGTAAGCTCACGGGGACACTCTAGGGGAACGTAACTTTCCGCAGTGTGAGGGTAACGGCTGGGCGCACTCCATCAGCCAATCCCTGTCTCTGAGCCCGGAAGGTATGGTTATCTAGAGTGTGGGGGGTTTTCTCTGGAACCTCAATTGAGTTAAGGGTATCGCCACCTTTGGTAGATAGGTTCATCCGGGTGGGTCCCACTTCTAAGCCCGCCTCCTTTTGGGAAACCCTGAGGGCCTGGCAGTGATGTTGGGCTTGATGGGCAAACGAAGTAGATCGGGTGTTGGGATCAAGCCCGCTAGGGGTATCTGGGGATCTATCGCTCTGGGTATCCCTGGTTTCCCAGCAATGGGATGGCCTCGATCGGGTAGTGGTGGAAATGGGGGGTTGGGGTTCCCCCGTCAGCTTGCTGGCGGTCCCCTTCCTCCTGGTTTTGATGGCGGGTTTCAGCATGTCAGGGATTGGATAGGTCCCGAGTGTTGCTTGCACTAAATGCATCAGGGCATATCATTATGGGCCTTCAGGTTTCGTACCTGCTGGATTCCAGGTGGAGTGACGCTTAGACAAGTAGCCGGTATCCCTGGTTAGGATTGAGGGGCAACCCTCTTTCCGAAGGGTTGCTTCAGCAGCCGGTGAGCCTGATGACCTTAAGTCATCCGCCCATAGTGTGCCTGAGGTTGGTGCGTATGCTCCGGCCTACACCATGGGGCCCGGGTATGTTTAATTATTAGGTACCGGGTTGCAGTTGAGGGGTTTCGGCTCTTTTGACACAAACAAATGGAATGGAACTACAAATCACTATTCATAACTTTTAAGAGAGGTCATGTTTTCGCTTATAACCTCTCATTGCCTCTGACAGTGACACAACGAAACATTGTACTAAAGTATACCACTCAACAATTAAAGTGGCCTCAACAGCTGATTAGTTGAAGTTTAAATCATTACAATTTGACTTCTTATCTCTCAATCCTTGAACCCAATTGGTCCGTTACCCTTGTTGTTATGAGTAAAAGTATGCTGTTATGTGAAACTTTTCAATTCTTAGAACTGAACTGAAACGGCCACTTTAAAAAACGGCCGTGGGTAAAAATAAAAATAAAACACTATAGGTATAAAATAATGATACAAGCTCATAGCATGAAATGCGACTGTATAAAAGTATTTTAACAAACTTTAACATTTCTAAATGTAGGCATATAATAATTACATACCACTATTCCGTATAACAACATCCATAACGTATATAGTAAGTCCTACTCGTGCGAGGTGTATACAGCACAATTAATTCACATTAGTTGTAACACTTCCTACATTTCTGTAACATGTCAGTGGTATGAATTAACAATGATACGTAGGTCGCAAGGGTGCAAAGTACTTTGGGTCTGTGTATTCATTTGCCTAATACAACCTTAACACCAAAAAGTGACCCTGGTCAATTTACACGATTTGCATATCAAATTGCATTGCAAAGTGCCAAACCCCAATACAGCAATGAATTATTTAGAGAAAGACACCACTTATTCGATTGAATTTGTAATATAGGTTGGTTTGAAACTTTTGGAACATTTAATGGGTTATTTAAATGATTTTCAAATTTAGTTAGAATCTTCATTAAATGAAAAATAATACTGTCTGCCTACCTGTGTGTATGTGTACTGAGCATGAGACTACACTCGGTGTCTATTTTGACGAAATTTTGTATGCTACTAATCCATAGTATCTTTAGAAGAAGATTTTAACATGTTTTTATTTACATTTTTACGTTTACTTTTCATTAACATTTATAAAATAACTTAATATAGGATTAAAAAAATGATTCGAATGATGTTTATTAAACGTGTATTTATTATGGCACTTTTAATTCTAAACCAGATAGTACAACCCCGGAAGCTGTAAAAATTACTTCTCAAAAGTCATTACAACTAGAGGCATGTAGGAAACTAAGTCCCTAAAATCCCAAACATGAAAATTTTTTTTTTCATGTTTCAACAATCTAAGAATCAAATAATCTTTCTCTCTTCAGCTTTAAAAATTTTAAGTTAACATTTTTTTTATTTAAAGTAGAATGTATCTAAATTGTTTTTAAGTAAACAAACTAAACGAACAGAAATCGTAGCTATAGGTCGGCCGCTTAGAAAACTACCTCCTCCAGCATTGGTTTAGCATTAGCGCGCAGGTCGTTTTCTAAGCGGCCGAACTATAGTTAATCAAACTGTAATTTTTTTCAATACAATCTATTTATTTTCCATTAAAAATTACCATATGGAATTAAAAATTAGTTTCTGGTGGTAACTTCAAAATGTTATAATAAGTGTTCTGTATAAACCAAATTTTAGACTGCTGAATGTAAATATGCAAATCATAACTTTGTACCTAACGATTATCAACAAAAGTAAAACTTTCAGAGCAATGGAAAATAAGAGACAACGAGTGTAATTCGCAGTTAACTGTTTTTCTGCTGGTACATTGGGCCGTGAGATACATTTACTACAAGATATTTGAAGTGTGAAATTCCAAGACGTAACATTTATATTTCAGTCTCATTTAGTCTATCTGGTCAGCAACCTTCCCTTTCACTACACGTGGCTCTTTCAACAGACTCGAGAAAGTATGTTTGTAATTATTTTGATATATTAAATACCCATTTTAAAGAATTGCAAAGTACATAATTAATTTCATAATATACACCCTAATCCTCATGAATGCGGATAATGTATTAAGAAATTAAATAAAGCTAAAATATGAATTAATATTAATGAGTAAGATATAAATGGCTCAATATTTACCAACACACAATATTACTTTCAAAAATCCCTTTACTGAAATGAAAATCCGGACCGTTTACAGCCAAAAACACAGATTATGTCTGACAATAATTCCATCTTTTGAAACAGTAGAGAGGCTGACAACAATCACATGTGCATAAATGTCAAAGGATAGAAGATTACAATAGAGTCAGTCATCCATACACTTCATTGTGTTCCTGTATCGTGCACAACAAGCTCAATTGTGCGAACAATATGTCTGGCACAAAACATACGTTAATATAAACTATAAATAATTATTATGTAATGCGTAGATCTTTGTCCTCTACAAAACTGGTTTGTAGAACAGTTGGCAGTGATAGTATGAGGTAGCTCATTGGATGAATTCATTACTTAAACGTTAAAAATAATATTATAATCTACCTTAATATCATATAAACGTTCACACATGGAATAGCATATTTCATAACAAGAGTAGAAAGTAAGTCATTACATAATTGAGATCATGTTTGGAAGTGCGAGATTTATCGAGCACTTTAAATGTCCGAGAGTATGTATGGACCCACTTTTACTCGTATTTTGAACGTTACTTTTTGCTCCACTACAATGAATAATTATCTTTTTCATAAAAAACATAGAATTTTTTAGGTTATGCCTTTAATTTAAAATTAATATTTACTTAAGTTGTTAAAATGAAACAGTTGATAAAACAATAACAAATATTAGAATTTGTTGACAGTGGAATATTTTCGGTTGTAAACAACGACTTCATTTATTTATATTTCCAGCATTTTTCAAATACTAAAACCTAAGCAAGATGTTTGCTTGCAATATCCTTAAGAATTTAATTAATTGATATCCTCTTGTCCAATTGACTGCAAGTGAAGGACTTTCAATATCTACTTGAGGATAAATAACTGTTTGTGAGTTGGTGGGTAGTTCCAGTGGGATTGCCAAATCATTGGCTACTGACAGGGATGCCTACAAATGTTTACTCCTTTTCTGAGCCGACACCGTGCTTCAAAGTTAAAGAAACTACTTAACCGGTTAAGGATTTAGTAAAAAACATTTATTTGTATAACATGTCTTTGCTGTACATTTTGCGCTTTCAAAATAATATTCTTCAAAATTACAGTGAAGTATCTCATAAGAAGATATTGATAAATTAATATCATCTAACGAAAAATATATTTGAAAACGATTAGAGTTCTAAGCATATCTTAAAGTAAACTGCAGACATGAATACTATACTCTTCGACACGAATTTTAGTATGACAAAAATAAGCCTTTAGTACATAAAACCAGCCATGAAGACATGGAATGAATCCAAATTACCATACTTGGCACATTCCCTGTAGGCTTCATGAGTAATGATAGTATTTTTTATTTGAGCCTCTATGGTTTTGAAGCTTAGTACAATATACGTATACTTATATGAATAAGAATAAGAATAAGAATAAGAATAAGAAAGTTTATTGCCATTGACCAAGATGTACATAGGAATAGGCATTGTCAAATTACATTAAATAAAATAAAATATCACTAAACATGTTCATATCTATGGTAACAAAGATTAAGAATAACGATTGAGAGTTTTTGATTTACAGTATGAAAGATTCGGCTTTAATTTTATAATTCATAAAGTCCTTAACTGAGTAAAATGGGTTAGCTATGAGCCAGTTATGAATTTTTGACTTAAAAAGAGGAAGAGAAAGGCTGTCTGCCTGAAGAGGCTCAGGCAGCTTATTATAAAATTTCACACAATTAAGATTAAAAGAATTACCTGTGATGGCCAGCCTGTGATGTGGTATATCCAGTTGTTCCTTGTTTCGTGTATGGTGGAAATGGTAACTCTGCCTGGTGGAAAACTCATTGAGATTAGCTTTAGTGTATATAAGTACATTGTAGATGTATAAGTTAATGATTGTGCAAATGTTTAGTCTGACAAAAAGTGGCTTGCAGTGCTCCGCAGGGCCAGCCCCCGACATAGTGCGGATGACTTCTTTTTGTATTAGTAGAAGCTCATGAACATGGGGGGAATGGCCCCAAAGTTGGATTCCATATTGAATGTGGGATTGAAACAGTCCAAAGTAGGCTAGTTTGAGATATTCAATGTCAACAAAAGACTTGAGTTTCCAGAATAGACATGAAACTCTCGATAGTTTTTTGCTTAAATTTGTGATGTGAATTTTCCAATTTAATTTACTATCAAGGTGAATGCCAAGAAGTTTGACTGAATGGTCTAATTTGTTTGAAGAGAGTGAAAATTCTATTTTCTGGGTTTTGGATTGGTTACAGATGAGTTTATTTGTAGAAAACCAGTTTAAAACACTGTTTTCTGCATTAGAAATTGTTTCTGAGAGCTTTACAAGATCTTTATCAGAAGTAAAAATTGTGGTGTCGTCTGCATATATAACACTGTTAATAGGGATGTTACATGGAAGATCATTGACTGTGACAATGAAAAGAAAAGGGCCCAGGACCGAGCCCTGCGGAACTCCTGCTTTAATTGCTGTCAATGTTGAGTTTTTACCCTCTACACTAACAAATTGCCTCCTGTTGGTCAGATATGATTCAATTATGTCTATTGAGTTTTTATTGAGTCCATAAAATTTGAGTTTTGTCAGCAAAATGTCAAACGGAATGCAATCAAAAGCTTTTGTTAAGTCAAAAAGAAGCATAGACACAGTATTTTTATTTTCAAAAGCATTAATAATGTAATTGGAAATGTGAGAGACTGCCATAGTGGTTGATCTACCAGCTCTAAAACCAAATTGAGAGTCAGACATCA